CAGCGTTCACAACAACAATGATAACCACATCGCTACATATATTGGTGATCCCGTCGGAAATAAACAATAATGGTAACCCCTATCGTTACAAGTGTAGCGCGGATCACCACAATTATTTATCTTTGACTGGGAATGACGTGGAAAAGGACAAGCAAAGACGCTGGAGGTTACCAAACATGTAGCGGTCACAATGCAATTTATATTTGACGTAAAATAGTACATTGTTGAAACTTGGATAAGCATGGAATAATAATAATACAACACAAAATGTATTGAAACAAGGAAAGGGTACACAATATTTACAGTTAGTTTGGTATATTCTTGGGAAGACTGTTCCTGCATAATGGGTTGACTAAATCGCAGTCGGGCAGAGTCTCTGGATTCGATCTCTTCTTACAATCTCTTTTCGTCTTCCGGTACCAACCCATATTTATATGGTTGGTACTCCACTTATGTAAATTAGGTGTATCGTACACAACATACATAATATAAAATACAAGACCGAATGTAAGATGAAGTAATTATTAAACTGAAGTTTTAGAAGAAAGTTCCTGTTGCATGTTAGGAAGTGTGAATTGGTAAAGTTGGTAAGAGTTCAGAAGAGTTAAGAGTTTGTACTTGCGTGAATTGGTAATGTTCTTTAACGTCTGACCGCACGGTCAAGACGGGAGCTATTGAAGATCACATCTTGGCAGCAAAGAAATAAGATGAATGAAGAGAAAACAGAGAGGTTATTTATTTCCGTACTATAACAGAAAATGTGGCACAAGGCCGAAAAAGGGAATGGGGAAAAGGTCGGTCTTCTGTCTTAACTTCTAAATTTAGCTAGCCACAAACGCTGACCCAATCATACTAAAAATATTTCTTGCACCAAAACAATACATACTTACCTTTCTCGCCACACTCACCATAATACCTCAATGACTCCATGAAAATATTAACTAGACCCCATATGTACGATTTTTGGTCTGTGGGGGGAAGGGAATAAAACAACAATTTAAAATTTTAAAAAGTAACCCCAATGAGTATTTACAGTATGAAACAAATAACTATTTACAAGAAACTAAACAAAATCGTGTTAGTAATAAAACCCCCACAATCACTAAATGTGACAGAAACATCAGTTAACTAGACGAAATTAATGCGGGACTATAAAAATTAAAAACATTCATTCATCCCAAGCACTTACACAGACATGCACTCATTCAGACACAAAAACAGATACGAAAAATCACACCCTAAACGAAAAACGCCACGCATCCACCAGAGAACTGACGTCACTAACCACCTAACGAGGGAGGAGATGGGGAATTAAACTTAAAGAAAGATAGGGACAGAAATAAAAGGGGCCAATGAGCATACATATCCTAGCTAAGTTTATTGAAAAAGGAAACTAAAGACTCAAAAAAACTAAACCTAAGCTAACCTAAATTTTGGGGTGGGTTTCCCGTGTTCAACCCAGCTAAAGCAATATCCTGATGCCTAACCGGCATCAAACTGCCACTCCAGGTCAGCCCCTTTCACACGACACAAACGCGCAAGATTCACCCACCTTTTGCCGAATTCAGATGAAGTGAGTCGCCGCCTTTCCGACCTAATCTTAACTTTAAGCTGATGCTTAAAGTACAAGATCAGCTGGGAAGAGGTAAACTTCTCGCCTCCATAGAGTCCCTTCTGACATGTCGTCCATATCATGACTCTCATAACACCTAGTAAGCATAAGAACACATAGTGTTCAGACCTCGTCAACGGCGGAGCCACATTGCTACAAACAGAAGCGGCCTCAAGGACAAAGAACTTTCTAGACGGCATGCGAACCATGAGACCTTCAACATACTTGCACAGCGGTGCCACCACCGAGAAATAAAAAAAGGCGTGAATAATGGTCTCGACCTTCCCACTACAGCGGCGGCAGTTTGGATATTTCTCCAAGCCCGCTTAGCAAAGTCTTTTGGCGACCCAGAGGGTCCCACGCATCATCAGCCAGGTGAGTAATGCCTCATTGTTATTGAGACATTTCAACTCGGACACCCAAAGCCATATCGAGCGAGCCTCCCGCTTCGTAAGACCGAGCTCGTCAATCAAATCACCACGAACGCCCCCCACCCCCTAACTAACACCTGATATAATGCCTTACGAGACAACGCCTGGGCGTTGGAGAGGCCATCCAACGTCCATAAGAGTCGTTTCAGAGCACGACGACATTCAAGGAGCACTCGGCTTTGGGTAAACAGTGAGCCTACTCCTCGGCCGAGTGCACACTTCTCAAGGATGGGAAGTTCTTACGGGTGTCTTCCTTCCAGAAGGCACCCACCTCATCCGATCCGCGACACATTCGATTCAGGAAACCGATGCGAAGCATATATTGACGAATCTCAATGCTAGGCATACCTAGACCGCCTTCAGATGGATGAAGGCAACAGATCTCCCGAGAGACTCTGGCAGTCTTACCTCCTCACAAGCAGGAGAACAAGAGCTTCACTAACGCCAGTAAAGTGTCATACGGAAGTGGAAGCACAGAGAGTCGGTAAAGGAGAATCGGGTAGATGTGTGAACCACATACTTCAGACCACCCCTTTAAGGAAAGATTCCTCCGAGACCACAAATAAATTGCGATCTCGGCCTTCCCTTGCACCTCCGACCAATTCATATCCAACTGGAGATCAGGACCGAACCAGACGCCGAGAATCTTGACCGGCCCATCCGTCCAGAAGAAAGGTCCTGGAAGAGAAACTCCCTTCCACGCACCCAACCGCAAGCCAACAGACTTATCGCGGTTGATCTTGGCCCCTGTCAACATCTCAAAACCACTGATTTCTTTGATGACGTCATTAATCTCGGCCCTGATCGACACAAGAATCGAAACGTCATCAGCATAGGTGGAATACCTGGGCGCGTTGGTAGCGCCAGGTAGGGAAATTCCGCGTAGGACCGGATTCGTCTTTAACTTGCGAAGGAAAGGTTCCAACGCAAGAACGTAAAGCAAAGGCGAAAGCGGACAACCTTGACGAATGGAGCGAGACAATACGAACGGCTCCGATCGTACTCAATTCACCTCCACCAGCGCACCGGGGGTCGCATACAGAAGTCGGATCCAGGTGCGAAAGTACGGCCCGAAACCGGACGCCGAAAGAACAGCCTCCAGAAACCGATGGTCAACCCTATCGAAGGCCTTGGACTGATCTAAATTGATCAGCGCGGCTTCACTGTCGACTTGCTCGATGATCAAGCATACTATATGAAGGCAGGGGAAGTCAGCTAAATAGGCGTCGAACTGAGCAGGGCTCATACCGGGCTCCCTGGTGAAAAGTTCCTGAAAATACTCACGAAATGCCTCACATATGCCCTCGTTTGTAGTCACGGTTCGCTTATCCGGCAATGTGACGCATGCGATATGCCGCCGAGATGCACCCCGAACCTCCTCTGCACGGAATTCAGTGGCCATATTCGTTGCTTCATGAGACATTCTTTTTAACCTAGCCCTAACTACCAGAGCTTGATCCTTCTTGATAAGCAAGGAGGCCAACTCTGCCTTAGCTAAGACTACGTCCCCACTATCACGGGATTTAATCGCCTGATCGACTTTTTGATTGAGCCGCAAACGTTCTAATTTTGGATTTGAGTTTATCCCACCAGGCATTTCCCACCACAGCCCCCGTCAGTTCCCTTTGTATCATTAGTAGCAGCTGGTCCCGGAAATCTTGCTCCCCAAATAATGAGCAGTTCAATTTCCAGTAACTAGCCATCTTAACCTTAGACTTATCTAAGTTTACCCGGACCTGGACTAGCTTATGATCCGAATAAACTATATAATAGAAACTTGGACACCCTAAGAGCCCTACATCGACTCTCCTGGCTAAGACTCGGACCAGGTAGATAGAAAGCATCTGAGTACCCGAGCTGCCACTATTAGTCCACATTACCTCCCGAGGGTGTTCATTTCGGTATTATCGACAAGATCAAGCCTGTCGATAAAGTCCCGAAATGGTTTCACGTCCGGGTTGTTAGTACCCAATTTTGATCTATATCGGGCTCAAGGACGGCATTCCAATCCCCCGCTAAAACTACCCGACGAAACGACGCCAAGAACAGCTCGATCTGCCGAAACAAAGCAGGCTGCTCAAAATGCTTATTGGGCGCATAAACCCCAATGAGACGTAGAGCCTTATCCTTTATGGTAACATCGAGCACGAAAAGTCTTCCCGCCGGATCTGCGAAGACAAGAGCACACGTTGCCTTCAAGGACTTGCTCACTAGCCAAGAGACACTCCCCGAGCGTCCATAATAACATGCTGAATAGAGGAAGAACCCTCTAGACAGAATGCTATCATGACCGCGAGAAGAAAAACAGGTCACTTGCACACAACATACATCTACCCCGAGACGTTGAAGGTCACGATAGAGCCTCGCCCTTCGAGACTCGACCTCAGGCCTCGTGCATTTAAACTAGCTAACCAGAGAGACATTGTCAGGCCGATTAGGGTTGCTCTGCTGGATCGGTCGGGGAAAGGATACCAACAGCCTCTCCCATCGACCCATGGCCCATTTCAGTTTTGATGGTATCGTCTTGGGAGAGACCGCCGATATCCCAGGGGAAGGTCAATTTTAGTGCTCTATAGACGGAGGGGTGAACGAAAACAGCACAAAATTGTTTTAGCTTCTTTAATTTTTCGTTCTGGACAATTGCTATGTGAGGCGTCATTTTGAACGAGGCTATTGCCTCATCCAACATTGCGAAACATTGATGCGCTCCCGTGCCAGTTCTTATAACAGTCAATACCCGTTGGGCCTTTGGAAAGTTTTTGGGATTCTCGATGACTTTGTAGATACTTTAGGTTTTTAATCTTATTGCCATAATCCCTGGCTTTCTCAGCTTGAGTCGGGGAAATACGGCAGATGTCTTCTCCACTATTGTAGATGTGTTTGGGAAGTTTCTTTCTTTTGTCTTTTGCGTCCTGATTAGGACTTCTTTGTCTCTTACTCATAGGAGGCGGCATTACAGGTATGTTAAGGGGTGGTTTAAGGGGTGAAGAACTGAGAGAGGGACAAGGAGTAAAATTTTGTCTGAAAGGGCTGGGGTCTCTACTGAGAGGGGTTGAGGAATGCGAGGAAGGTATCTGGGCATGAGATATGGAGGGAGTGACTTTTTCGATAGTAGGGGTCTTACAAGTGCTGGTGTCTTTACTGAGAGGAGTTGATGGTTGGGAAGACTGTTTTTGTGAGGATGTGGAAGGAGTAGCTTCTTTCATAGATTTGGTCTTTTTTGGGCGGGAGGGAAGTGTTTCTTGAGAGGAGGTAGCAGGAGTGGTCTTTTTAGATTGAGCGGCCTTTTGTGAATCTAACTTTTCTTTCAATTTTTTAATTTTTTCGGTTGTCTCGAACGCAGGGTCATATTTCTTTTGTAGTTCTCGAAGAGTGGTTTCCGAGGCCAGGGCATCGCCCTTACTGTTGAGAATGGGAGTGGGACTGTCCGTGTCTTTCATCCCGGGGGCTTCAGGGGACTGAGGACCCGCTGTCCGGTGCTTCCCTCAGTCCTTGCCAGCAACCAGCCATTCTCCTTCTCCCTTCTCCACAACTGCACGAGCAGTGGGCGAAGGCTCTTCGGGGAATGGAGGCTTAGATGTTGGCCCAACCGGCGGTTTCTCCACTCCAGTTCCGGAAGCTGGCATGCTCATTACAGGCGAGGCGGTATTCAAAGACGCGGTCAGAGAGGGATTTTGGTCGCTTGGGGCCTGACCTCCAGAGGCCTTCTTCTCTGGACAGGAAGAGGAAAGGTGACCAGTCTTTCCACACTTCCAACACACCGGTTTGCAGCTAGTCACGATGACCGGCAGCTTCAGGCTCCCAACATCCAGACAGTTGGGTATGAAGAGGAAGGCATTTCATGATCTCAAAACTCCATCCCCGGTCAATCTATCGCAGGAAGCACCCAGAATTTCGCCATACTGCGTCAGGAAGGCCGCTAGGTGATCCCATATAACCCGAGGCGGGACCTTGTATATCGCTACTATGGTCCTACACCTGCCTTCATATTCTGTTCTCAGAATAATATCTTTCGTAATGATTTCTCGAGTTGTCATTTTCAGGCAATCTTCTGGTGTGGCTAGCAATATGTCTCACATGAAAAAAGCCCGAGCCCTTAACGATTCTTAGTGGCTTAAACCCCTGGGACTCCAGTGTTTTTACCACTGTGTCTTTCGTCGAATGACAAATCTTGCGCGTATGCTTATCGACGACAAAGACTGACACTATTCGTTTCTTGATTTTCTTCAGTCTTTTGGGGTCCTCCAAGAGCTCACCTTTCATGACAAGGTGTGCATAACTCTTGGCATGCTCCAAGAACTCTGCAATATTGATTATACACTTCGGTGGGGATTTCCAACAACAGGGCAATTCCCCGGCCTATGTGTTATCACTGGTCTTATTGGTCTCCATATTATTTGATGGTGATACTTCGTCTGGTTCTTGGCCCTTATTAGCCACTGTACTTTTTTTTTATTTTGGCCATTATTGGCCATCGTACCTTTTTTTTTTGACTATTTTTGGCCAACATACTTTTATCGGAATTGCCATTATCAGCTTCCATACTTGTTGTTATGTCATTGGCATTAACAGCCTCCTGATTATTGGGGACTAATGCCGGGTATTCATCGGGATTATTCTTATCGAAGGTGTCTTTTTAATGGAAAACAGATGTTTTCTTACTGACCTTCTAAGGTCGGCCACTTTCGGTTTCTTCTTGATAATTAAAAAGGATGGTACCCTTTTTTTTCCATTTTCAAGGGAGGGGGAGTGGTGATAAATAGGGAAAAATTGCTTAAGTTTCGCCTATAGGTGAAAAAAATAGGAGTGACAAAAAAAATTTAAAGTAACAAGATTCAATAAACAGACAAGAAAAAAAGGTAAAATTAAACAAACAAGGTTTGCTTAATCAGCGAGACAACAAAATTAATAAATACAAAACACAAGGTTCGCCTGTGAGTGACACTACAAATTCACAAAACAGAAGGAAGTACAAATGAACAAGGTTTGCCCAAAGGTGAAACTACAAATTTACAAAACAACAAAGGATGTACAAAAAGATAAAATAGACACGGTTCGCCTAAATGCGAAACAATTTAAACAAACAATTGGATGTACAAGTAAACAAAGTTCACCAAAGGTGAAACTATAAATTTAAAACAAGTACAAATAGGACGACAGACAAGAAAGCAACAAATAAAAGGAATGGTTATAAACGGAAAACAAATAAAATATGAAACATAATGTCACAATTTACAATATGGTTGCCGATAAAATGGTCAAACCTAAAACAAAATAAAAGGATATACAAAATAAACACAAAATTTACAAACAAATGTTTTACAGATGAAAATAAACAGATAAAAAACACAGAACTTTACGGATTAAAAGAAAGAATACAGAATAAAGTGACATGTAATAATAAAAAACAAAAAATAAATAAAGTTGAACATAAAACATAGAAAGAAAAAATAAACAAATAACTCTGGGAAGTGCGTATGGGGAGAAAATAAATTCAAAAAGGAAAAAGAAAATGTAAGAGATAAATAAAAAAGTTAAATAATAAAAAATTAATAGCAAAATAAAAAATGGGGAGGGCACGGAATTGAAAGGAAAGAAAAAATCAAATATTTACTAAACAATCAAAAAAGGAACGTAAGGAAATGGTAAAAATAAATCCAAAACGTAACGGAATAACGTCAGTCAAAGGTTTAAACAATTCTCAGAGGGACAAAATAACGGTCAAACTTGGTCCTAAGGGTGACGAAAGAGAGGACTGAGGGAAAACAGAGAGAGAGAGCTTACACGTGTTTTGTTTATATAAGGTGGGGTATCATGTGACTGGCTCAAACCTTAGTGAGTGGGAAATTTCATTCATCGCGTGCAGGATATCTGATTGGTCGGAATTGACCAATCGACGAGCTAGTTTTGAGGAGATTAACTAATGAATGTTTGTCGCATGATTTGTATGTATGATGGTGATGATAATTACTACAAGAGCAAGCAAGAGGCTTGCAATGTTTCTTCTGTGGGAAAGGAGCTTTATGGTGGAAAATAATTTATCATCCACAAGTCTGTGTAGATGCTTCTGGAAAGTGAAAACTGCGCAACTCTGTTCAGATATGGCAGCATATTTTGGCCTGATCTAAAAGTAGAGCCTAGCAGGAGGAGTCAAGACTTTACCTGAGTAGTACAGGGAACTGATTGTATTTTCAGCATCTTTATATATGAGTTCCACTTGAGGTCTGGGGTGAATTAAGTCGCAATAGGCATTCAATGAAAGGAGCCTGTTTCAGAGAATACCTATTCATTCCAATAGAGTAAAATTCAGGCTCTGTTCAGGGATGATGGAATGTTATCAGTTTGGTTTTTGAGCTATTGAATGTGACAAACTAGTTTCCCCCCCATTGAGTTGTTAAGGCTAGGTCAAACAAGGCACTGGTAATCTAGAATTTTGGAAATGCACCCATATACTGTTGTATCATCTGTATAGATATACACAAAAGATTGGAGTATACTCTTCGGCAGATCATTAATGTAAAGCAGAGCGTTGAACCAAGAAGTAATCCTTGTAGATGCCGGCAGTGATCTCATGGGCCTCAGAGGACTGGTCATTAACAACTTCATGGACCTACCCATTGAGGAGGACTAGATAATTGAGAAAACTCTTCCAGTGATTCCATAGCAACCTTCTACAATGTGAAAGTGTCTAATATATCTAATGTGATCATCCTTGTGATGTATTTGTTTAATACCTTTTTTCTCCCAGAGATAGAAGATAGAAATTTCAGTCCATTCTTACAATTAAGACTTTCTTTTAAAGACAAAGGAAAAAAAAACAGATAATTGCAAGTTTTACTTTCTTTTTGTTGTTGTTGACAAAAACCTTAAATTCCAAGTTTTTGTTTAACAGTTAAAATTTTAGATTATTTTTTTCCAAATTATTGAGGTAAATTATTAAGTAAAGGCCTTAAGTTTTAAACTTAAAAGAAAAAATATGTAATCCAAGAACTCGAATATTGAAGAGCTGATTCTCTGTTTATCACACACTGTCTGTATGACTTTGCATACTTGTATATAATGTGTATGTGTTGTGCATTTTTTTTTTCTTTTTTTTTTTTAAGCATTGTGCCCCAAGCAAGGCATGAAGCCACTAGGATGCTGGGGGTTGCAGAAGATTTGGAGCGAGAGCAGATAAGAGTGATAGGAGAAAGGAAGAGGAGAAGGATAGTGGGTAGATCAAGGTAATTGGAGATGTCGATTGACATTACATTTGAATAGCTGGAGATTATAACTTTCAAGGAAACAGTAATTGGGGAGGGTGTTCCACTGGCGAGAGGTGCGAGGTATGAAGCTATTGGAGTAGAAGAGACGGCTACATTTGAAGGTTTCTATGGTGTAAGGGTGAGAGCGGGATGCCAGCCTCGTAGGGCGCTTGAATTCATGGAGTCTGGGAACCAGAGAGAGCAGCTCATCAGAGCAGTTACCATAGAAGTATTTGTAGAAAAGACAGAGAGAGGCGACAGCGCGTCTGTGAGAGCGTGACTGCAGACAAGACGCTAGATCAGGGCCAATTAGATTACATATCCGTTTCTGGATCTTGTCAAGAACTCCGAGGTAAGCAGAAGGTGCTCCAGCCCATATATGGCAGCAATACTCCATGCAAGGGCGAATGGTTGTTTTGTATATTTGAAGTATCGATTCAGGGGAGAAAAATTTCCTGGCGCGGCACAGAGAGCCAACTTTCCTCGCGGTGGAAGAAGCAATTTGTTCCATCTCAGGTCAGCAGTCAGCGTGAGGCCGAGCAGATGCAGGGAGTTGCTCTCAGGAAGTTGACTATCAGACATTTTAATGGGGGGTCGGGAAGGATCTCTATGGTGGTTAATGGAGAGTAATTTAGTTTTTGTGGCGTTAAAGTTGACCAGCCAATTCTTGCCCCAGTTAACAACCGATGAGTGAATTATGTATTTGTGCCATTTAATATTGACAGAAGCACACATATACATGCACAGCTTGACTGAATTTGAAAAGACAATAGAATAATAAATTCTCTTCTCACAGTTTCGACATCTCTTGAACAATAAAATCATAAAGATGAAAACAAGAAGAGAAAAACTAATCAACAGCTTTATATTGGTAAAACTGTCCCTTTTTTAAATATGTGTATGGCTGGAAAATAAAATGAAAAAAATGAATAGCCATAACCAGCTTTTCTTTCTCTTACTTTCAGCGAGAGAGCTTTTTGAAAATTTTTCACTGTTTCTATCTATTGATATAATTATGTTCATGTCTATTGATATCAGTCTATTCATATGT